CAAGTTTTAAATTTAAAATTTAATGTAAACAGTTTTTTTTTTCTTTTTATCACATAAAAATGCATCATGGTAAAAGAACAATGGATAAAATAGCTCTGTAATTTATACTTCAACGGTAAAATTTTCTTTCTTATAAATATTATAACAGTATCGTTATTGTTTATCGTTAACATGACAATATCTATCTTATTAAGTATAATTTTCTACTCCTTCCCACACAAAAAGAATATATCCTTTAGTTTTGGGTTCGCGTTATGACAACTGTACTTTATAGATTATGTTTACTGATTTATGTTATCATATGTAGCCTTAGTACCTCTACTACAATAAATTATTTCCCTATTTTATTGATATTTCTTATCCCGCGACAACTTAAACAAATATCCTGGTGCTAAAGCACCAAATCTGTGCAGGCTCACTAGATTCTGAATCGTGCACTCTGTGTGCTTATCACCTATGTTGTACCCAGATGATGTGATTATCTGTACAGATGCCTCTGTTATTACAGGCAGAAAAGATGCATAAGCATTTATAAGAAAAGCGAATGGATGACCCTTAACTGCCCCAAAACCCAACATTTCATCCAGTTTGAGAATACAGCCAGAGGTAGTCACTGCAGTGTTTGAGAGTCAGCAGTCAGCTGCACACACATAGTGAGATTGTAAAGCCTCATAAAAAAATGCTGAAAAATGTGAAGACAGGCATGCTTCACACAGTGGACATGGGTAGCTAGTGTAACAGGGAGCCTACACAAATTGCGCTTAATTGAAAAGACTAGAGAACAACAGGCTCATCATGGCCTTCACCTTTATTTCTACAACCTTTCCACAAAACTTGGTGATAGCAAAACAGTGCAGTGCTAAAAAAAGTTACTTGCCAATAAAGTCATGGTGTCATTGGCCTGAGCTTCTCGAGACTTCCAACAATTTAGTTAGAATCATAATGTGACCCTGCCTTCTAGTACATGAAAATACCCTGTTGAAAAAATGTTCTGAATTTTTCTGATAAACTTGTATTTTAGAAACATAATAGCGGTTTGCAAAACACATTGCTGGAAGATTCTGGAAGCGAGCTTATGGTGCCTATATAAGCGAGTGACTGGACCTCTCAAAAAAGAGGGAGGGCAGGCCAGACTTAATGAGCTAGAGACTGAACTCGGGACTTGGAGGATACTCTATATAGAGTAATCTTAAAGACCCACAGATAGAAGAGATTTTAGAGATTAAATCATATTTACTTACTTCAAATAGTTGTACTGAAGTAATTATTTGATATAAATCTTCTGTTTGAATAATTGTCAAAAAAGGGATGAGATAGTTTAAATAGAAAGAATAAAGTTTTATTTATTATAAGCATGGAGGTAGAGGGATTTCTTCGTTATGAAGAGGGAGGTTATGTCCACTAGGTGTCTGCACACGCACTACAGAAGGAGTGAATGAACAATCAAATATAGACTGTTTCACACAGAGTGCACAAATCAACCCCACTAAGGTAGCTGTGAGATGGTTCTCTCAGAATAACCATATTGTGGACACTCCAGTGACAGCTTCAAGTTTTTGTTCGGAGGCCATGGAAATGACTTTAAAATTAAATACCTAGATGTTTTTTTTCTTTATATTAACTGACTGTTAACACTAGTGGAAATGGAAATGGTTGTTCATTCACTTTGAATTTTTTCCTGGTCTTAAGTTTTTGCATAAACATCCATTTTATAGATCTGGCTTATTTGTATGCAGACTGTTGGACTGACTGACTTTCTACCCCACCAGGACATCACACAAGCGATACACACCCGATGACACAATGTGCCACCATGGGGGTGAGGATCACCGTGGAGAGGTCCCAGAAACCGCGTTCAGCCTTAAGGCCATATTTATGGCCTGGCTATATTGCGGCCCCTGGCAAGAGCCAGAGTAGGGCTTCAAAGAATGAAAATTCATCCTAAAAAGGACGAAAAGAATTATTTAACTGTTGGTTTCTGGCCCCTCAGACAGATGCACTGAGACTTCAAAGAAAATGTAAAACTTATATATGTATTTGTTCATTTTAAGTCAACTGTTAACTTCCAGACAGTGACCACTACATAGTTTAAATTTTCAATTGCCATTATAGCTACAATGTTTAATTTAACAGTCACATTTGCCGCCAGGTTTGTCTGAGTTTATTTTGTTTATTGCAACAATCAGTAAAAGTAAACTTTTGCTAGAGTTATATTCCTTTCAATATTTTTTTTTCTATTACATCAGTTACACTAATTTTTAAAAATTACATTTTCTGTTATCTCTTTTGGTACTTAAAGGGTTGCTTCTTTTCAAGATTTAGCAGACATATATGTCTGCATAGTCTGTTAAATGCATGTGCATGCAAAGTTCAGATTATGGATCAAGACTGTTGGAGGATTGGGTGCAGTAGAGAAAATTTTTTTTTATCGGTGTGGCTGTCAAATGTCCTAACTGTAACCCTGAGTCACAGCCCGCTAGAGGGATAGGAGCTTCTAGGCCAGTTCTTCCCACAGCTGGTGCCACCACCCCTCAGCTGCCCTGTCACTCAAGAGAGGGCTGCTACTACTCCACCTCAGGCTATGGCTCTGAGGTCAACTCCCACACCCCGCAAAAATTATTTTCTACAGGAAATTCTGAAAAAAGACGAATAGAGCATCACCGAACATGCACTGAAATGGAACACTTGTTGCGCTCTCTACTACTTTAGGATTCTGCTACATAAATGACAGCGGTGGAGATCAGGATGAGGTACAGGATGGGAGAATACAATTTTCTTTCACTATTCAGCTAATTTGTGGTGTGGCAATAGCTTTGTTTTAGGGAATGATTTATGTTCGGTCTACAGAATGTATAGAACTGAACATATTTTTTCTCATGTTCTGGACGCAAAGGTTCACATTCTTGAACATGACCAGAGGTGGGCTTAAAACTAGGACTTTCTGTCTATATAATAACTTGCTTGAGTTGTTCATTTTCAGCTAAAAATGTTAGTGGGATCTCACGTTTTCGGCTCAAGGTATGATCACCCTGCCTCGATTGGCTGCTGCATTGGAGGACTGAGCATGCATGAGAATGCCCAAAGTGCAGTGACATTAGTTGTGATAAGATAGTATAACATCAAAGACCCTGGTAATTAGAAACGTCCCTCAGCTTTTCAGGTGTGATCCCTGTGTTCCATATTACTCCAAGTACTCTATGTTTTTGCTAACTGTTGTCTTGCTTCACCAAAATGTTCTGCTGTCTTTCTTTGACAGCTGCTTTCCAGACAGTGTAGCAGATGAAATATTGCTTTTAAAAAAGGTGGGAAGGGGGTAATCATGTTCTGATTAACTTGCGGTAACAATAAAACGTGTAGTAGCTAACTGTCTTTCAGCAACATACCTAAACACATTCACTAGGGAAAAAGGATGGGGGAGGGGGACTCTTCAACAACGCAAACCTTAAAACTAGTAAGACTTCCTACGGGAACACTCTTTCTCAGACTCGTATATTTAGCTAAAGCCAAACAGAATACAGCCAAAAGAAGAAGAAAACTAAAAGCTTGAAAAACATGAATTCTCCTGTTTTTCCTTAAATGCACTACTTAATAAAAAAAAGTGGTTTAAACTGCTGATAACCCTCTGCAGATATATGGAAGTGTAATATCTTTTAATGTCGCTCCGTGGACTTTTTGAAAATCTGATCTTCGCAATTCATTTGTTTCTTTGAAATCTTCTTCTTTGCTCACTGGCTGTAAGCTCCGGTTGTTCGTCCATCTGGGCTTTGGCTTTATGCTAGGGCCTGAGTTTTGCCTGTACACCCGCTTTACTGGTTTATTTGTGTGCAGCTGGTTCTTCCTTGCTGCTGGGGCGATGCACTCTGACCTCGAAGGAAGTCCCCAATTAGTCGACTCCTACTACATGCTTGTTGGTAAGGCAATGTGTCTATTCTTGTTTTCCCCACAATAGGGCCCCAGAAGCGACACAAGAATCTTTGAGATCGAAAGAAGTACACCGAACCACCACTGCATTTTTAAACTACGACAAAGTACACATACGCACCACTAGTTAAGATCAGTTCCTTAAGTAATAAATATACGGTAAATTACTGTTGTGTGTTAACTGTTATGTCATAGTCAAGTGGTCATAATACAACTTGGGGAGGTAGTCAACATTTAGAAGTAGGATTCTTTTATTTTATTTTACTCGACCTTGGGGACTCCGACATTTTGTAGGCAATTCCTGGGGAAAGGGAAAGGCCAATTTTATGGAAAAGGATGGGGGAGGGTAGCGTTAATCAGTGTTTATTTAACATCCTAACAACCCTATACTACTTACTGGAATTTCCTGTGAAATTCCTACATTTCGGAGGTCCCGAGATAAAGTGAAATAATATAACCGAAATATTCTTCCACTGATAATATATGGTGTCCGTGCTGTCCGTGAAAATGAGATCGACTCACGGAGGGGGTCAACATATATGAAGGTGGTCAACTAAACTTAATACTAATAGTAATACTATATAAAAGTTCCACTGTATTTAAAGTGATCTGTGATAGCCCTACACTGTCTTAATACCTCACATGACTCATAGTGAAAGGATAAATCCTTCTATGGCTTAACCATATTGATAGGGCGAGATCAGAAAAATGACTTGTTCATCCATGTTTCTCTTGACCTGTAAAGTGGCGAATTATGACATCGACACGGCACATGAGTGACATGATAATACTGACGGATGTTCGCAACTAGCGTATTTTTCGAAATAGCTGTTTATTCATTCACGTCATCAAATGCTTTAGTAAGTGCAGTAAATAAAATAAAAAATAAAAATCTTCTATTGCAATAATAATTTAAGGTAAAGTTACCATTATTCTGGTGTAGAATTGCTTGCGTTGTAACGTTATAAATATGGAATTGTTTTATTGTCGGGTCCCAGTGATACTTTTATACTTTTTAAAGAGTTTTTCAAAAACTATCATCGCCGACCTTGTAGCAATGTTACTTTCTGCTTCGCAAGATGTCGATTGTTAAACTTTCGGGACAGTTGAGGCTAGTTGCTTCAACTCTTCTACATCGGCAACGAAAAATTTCACCGCCAGTACAAATTTGTAGAAATGCAGGAAGGTATATATAGATATATCACGGTCCAAGAATAAATTACAATACAAGTAGCATCCAAACTTAAATATGATAATGACTTTAACAAAGATCCCAAATCTAAAGTCTCAGTCTGACTCGGGAATTTTTTGTTAGCACTTTTGTGACGGGTATCGGCACCTCTCTTTTTAGACACTTTAAGTACCGGACCGTTTTTTTTTTTAAAGAAAAAAAGGCCTGGTGTGACTATTTATACAAGCGGTTTGAACGGAGATGATGATGGAACCAAAATCAAAATGGAAAATCTAGATTTCAGCTTGACAAGTCAAGTAAGTTAGTATTAGTAACATTTCAGTACTTTACTGAAGAAATGGTTTCTGTTGTGAAGCCATTAAAAATTATATATGATAACATCACCACCCTAAAAAAAAAAAAAACAACGCTGACTGTTTAAATGGACTTCACTATCTGCAGGTATAGCTCTTAACAATATCAGGATGTGCAGTAGAATGACATAGCAGAAGAGATCTTTCTTGGCTGCAACTTATCTATCTAAATGCAAGATGATGTTAAGTACTAATTATATGGATACCAGCACATGGGTATTGAAGGAAATAAAAAGGAAGAGAGAAGCAAAGAAAGGCAGAACAATAATAATTAATAATAAAATACATGTCCCTATAAATAATAATTGTTTAAATCAGTAATTTAAAAAAAAAAAATTGGTATGTGTAATGAAAGATTGAAGAGTGCCATACCAGTTATTTAAACCTCCAACTAGAAAATGTCAGCTGCCTAGTGAACTGAAAATATCTTGCAATAAAAAATAAAATTAAAATTACTAAGACTGCAACTTATAGTGGCTTATTTGACTATAGCAGAAAGCACTTGTTCTGAGTGTCCCAGACATAACAGTATTGAACACTACTATACTGCAAGAAATTATATTAACTGCACAGGTCTTCCGTTCAAGCAATAAGCTTATGACAGTAGAAAACATGCAGGGGATATATTGCTCTAAGAAACTACACAGAAGGATTAAACCGTGCAGCACAAGAACAAGGGTTAGAATATAAGATGTTAATATATATCATTGACATAATAATAGTATCTCATGTCACCTTGAATATTCACAAAGAAAAGTTTCTAAAGTTCTTCACCGATTGCTTTCAAATTTTTACACAACGTTGTATTTGTTTTATGTAAGAGTGTCGCACAAACCACGAACTACATATTGGTTTTTGTTTCGTTGCCAGCCTGGCATTATTTTTAGTTCGGCTAGTGGGTGACCTTTGATTGTTGACCTCAGACCTCTGCATGAAGCTACGCCCAAAGGTCTTCACCAATTATTTTGAAAATTTCACACGTTTTTATATGAGTGTTGCACAAGGCAATCGGTAGGCAGGTCAAACAATTTTTAGAGGCCTCAGAGATGTGGTTTTACAGAAGAATGCTTAGAATACCTTGGACAGCCAAAAAGAGCAACCAAGAGGTTTTGTAAGAGGCGGGAGCCCAAAGACAACTTATCACAGACATCAGAAGGAGACAGTCATCATTTTTCGGTTATGAGAAGAGGGAAAATAGAACATGTTGTGACCACTGGAAAGATCTGTGGAAGGAGGGATAGAGGAAGACAACAAGAGAAGATGCTTGACAGTCTTGTTGCATGGCATGGAGGTGTGTCGGCACACGAACTGATACATGCTGCAGGAGATCGCAGATTATGGAGAGGCATGATCGCCCACGCCAGTCAGCAAGGCACCTGATGATGATGATGCACAAGGCATAAACTACATAGCTCCAGCGACGATCACATCAGCATCCTGGTTTAGTTTTCCGACAATCCAATTTATTTTTCTTCCCTGCTGTGTTCATGACACAAGTTGTAATTTACGCTGATAGGCGACCTTTGACTGTTGACCTCAGAAATCTGCATGAAGCTGGTTGTTATGGTATTGAATAGTTGTTGACATTGTTTGGATATGTTAAGATGTTGGCATTTCTTCAGTGAGGGAGAGAGTAGCAGTGAGTGCATTTGGGAGGAAGGCGTGGGGGTGATAACAGAAACTGTTAACTGAGATAGCTTAAAGTTAATTTTAGTCTGGGTCATTAAAAATCGTCAGGTGATGAATTTCAAATTCTTCGGAAAGGGAGAGAGGAGTAGTCGGTGGAAGAAATGGGGGGGGGATGGGGGGGGGGGGGTGGTGATGACAGTCACTGTTAACTGAGAGAGCTTAAAACATGATTTTAAAAGCTTAAAACATGACTTTAAAGTTCTATTTTTTTTAATATCTATATTTTAATAACGCTTTATCAGCTATTCTCATGTTTTTTTTTTCAGAGTCAGTCAGTCATTTAGAAATACAGTAGTAAGCTTTACTTTCAGCTGTTAAACAAAATTTAGCATGTGATGCACACCAAAAAAATATCTTTTTAGATGTGGAAGCTGCTGCTCGTGAGTCCCAGACATCTAGTATAGTCCCAATCCACGCCGTGCGTAGCGGCGTGGTAGATACTCTCGGCGGTGGTGGTAGTCGCCGGAAGTCCACAATTTACATGTCATGGTGTTTTTGTGGCCGCCATAATATGTGGCCGTTATTTGGAGGATAGCCAATACATAAAATCTCCTAATTATAACTCACACGGGCTGAATAGGATATCGTTATGTAAATTAATACTACCAAGATGTATTTAAACAGCAGAGAAATAATTGTCTGTTTTCAGTGCAGTTTATAGGGATGCTGCATACAAGGAGCCTGCAACTGTGCACTACATGGGGGAAGTCCTCAGTTTCATAATGTGGTACTGGATTTTGTATCACTGCTGGTATGAGTTTGACCATCTAGTGGTAAGTTTCTCAGCACTGAAAGTTGTTCAGGGCTGTAACATCTTTTGGTACTTAACCTATTCTGTTCCAGACAACTTTGATTACAAAATGACAACACACTAGGGAAGAAGCAGTTAAAATAATGACTTATTAAAATTGAGATTCATGTGTGGGTTCTGGGGAACCATTAGTGGTAAAACAAGAAGAGACTCAATGCCTTCCCAGTAAGCATGTCTTAAGAATAAACTGATCTAGGGCTTCCTTTGAAGTCAAGAGTACATCTGCCAGATAGGAAAAGAACCAACAGTCTGCATACAAATAAGTCAGACCTGTGAAAGGAATGTGCACGCAACACTCAGGTTCTGGAACAGGACTTAACGTCCAGAAGTGGACGAACAGCCAGAACTTAAAGCCAGAGTTTGCAGCGGTAAACATGAAGAAGAAGAAAAAAGTGAGAGTTGAAATAATGACTTGTATAGAAACATCCATTAGAACATAAGGGTTAAAATAATAATTAATAAAATTAACTATTATCAGGGTTTAAGAGGTTGGGGACAAGGTCAGGGAACATTCTCAGTTCTGGTTGCTAGTTGAGCTTTCCCCCACACCCTGATATTTTCCTTCACTTCTCATCTTGATATAGGCATACTAGTCTAGACTAATAAGTCTTACTAAGGTGTACTACTTTACTGTGACCTCTCAGACTCCACAAACAAAGGCTGTGTCACTACACTGCATAATCTGCAAGGAATAACAGTCAGCGAGATAGTTCTTTTACCAACGTCTAGAGACAGAGGAAAAGAACAGCTTGTGAAAACATGCAAATTCCACTACATGGCATTGGGCCAAAGGGCGAAAGCTCATGCGCCGCTGGATCGATAACAACAACACCAACAACCAACGTCTAGTTCATTTAGATTAATCACAGTTAATTTAAGCATATAAAAGGGTAAAGTCGGGAGATGTGAACCAGCGTCATTGCACACGGTTATAAACCATAAATGCTCTGCCACCAGTACGGACAGCTGATAAGAAACTGTCCGCCTGTGTTGCCGTCCTCACGCAACTCCGTAGCTACAGCGACGTTCCTCCATTTACCCCAGAGTGTCACTCTGGTACCCATTTCCTTGAGGCTGGGTGAACCCCGGGAACCGTCGAACACCGATCGTGGCTGCAGCGAGTCACAGCTGGATTTGAAAGCAAGCCTTCTATCGACTGCGCTAATGCGACTCCCTCAACTACAACTAGCTGACCTGCCACGATTACAGTAACTGTTAACCACTACTCTACCCCTATTTGGTATTGCCACACAGTAGTTGTCAAGATCATCCGCTCGGAAACTTGGTGGATGATTGCCTTCAAATAGATAATGGCATCCGTCAGTCCCAGAAGACTGAAGATGTACTGCTCAATTTGGTAACAGCATTTGCTGTGACTGTAAACTCTAATGCGGGAGTGGCAGTCTCTGCAACATGGGATACACAAAAAAGTAGATACTCCCATGCTGTGAGGCTGATTTTCTCTCTTTCATATCCTTTCTATAGCTTGCTGTGTTTGGCTTTTTTCAGAATGCGACCAACCGACTTTCACTTTATATCGTCATAATAGTCGATCTGTATCAAATTTTCCCCCAAGTCTCTGTGCCTATGTTGGTATCTATCAGGTTACGTTTGCATATATCTTTATAACGTAGCTTTGGCCTTCCTGTAGGTCTTTTTCCTGTTTCCAGTTCACCATAGAGGAGGTCCTTTTGGAATACGGCCATCCTCCATGCGGGAGACATGTCCAAGCAAGCGCAGGCGTCTTTGCTTCTGTAGATTGATGGCATTTTTGTTCTTGTGAGTACACATTCGTTGGAGACAAGGTCTTGCCATGATGTATCAAGGATACTCCTCATACAGCGCCAGTGGAAGGTATTCAGTCTCTTTTCTTGAGGAGCATACAGAGTTCAGGATTCGCTACTATACAGAAGTGTTCTCAAGACTCATAAACATTAATTTTATTATTATCAGTCAGCCTGTTGTTTGACCAGACTCTCATAGTGAGATTTGAAAACATTGCAGAGGTCTTTCTTATGTATCTACTTATCTCTACATCTAGGGAATGATCGCCTGGGGTTCGTGAGCCTAGGTACTAAAACCCATGTACAGCCAACAGCTGATGGTCATAAACATTAATGTTAAGTGGGTTTTCAACATTCATTTCCATCATATTCGTTTTGTTTAAACTGATGGTAAGCCAAAAATCTCTGCATGCGTTTGCAAAGCGGTTTATGGGAATCTGCAGATCAGCCTATGTGTGTGCCACAATCGCTGCATCATTCACAAAAAGAAAATCCCTGAGGCATCTCGTGTGTATCTTCGGCCTAGACAAATTAAAAAGATTGCCATCTGACCCCGTACGGAGATATATCCCTTCAGTGGCTTTCCGGAATGCACGCCTCAACAGTGCAGTAAAATAAAGATGCCAAATAGTGTGGGAGCCAGAACATATACTTTCTTTACTCTGTTATGAATCTGGAAAGGTGAAGACGATGAATCCTCATATATTATGGTTCCCTGCATATTTTCATGGAAGGATTCAATTATGCTTAGTAGTTCAAATGGGCATTTTTATTTATCAAGGATATTGAACAGACCATCTCTGCTAACATAATCAAATACCTTGGTGAGATCTATGAAGGCAGTAAGCAGTGGCCTCTGCACTTCTTTTGTAGCTGCCTGATGGAGAAGATCATATCAGCTATATCTCTGGGACCTAAACCCACTCTAATTCTGGGTATACTCTGTCCGCTAGAATTTGCATCCTCTTCAGGATAACATGAGCAAAGACTGTTCCCACATAGCTCAACAGAGAGATAGTAGGTACAATCACTTCTCTCTCCCTTGTTTTTAATAAAATTATAATATTGGCATCTCTCATATCCTGAGGCACCAATTTTTCTTTGCCAACATTGGCAGAGGGTCTTGTGCAGCTCAGGAAGAATAGCATCCTTGGAACATTTCGGGATCTCAGGCAGGATACCATTCCCTCTAGGGGCCTTCCCTAGAGGAACTCCTATCAAGTGCTTCGCTGATTTCTGTGATGGAGGGCTCCACATCTAGTTCGCCTATGATTGGCAGACACTCCATTGCGTTTAAGGCTTCTTTGCTCATATAGATGCTTGTAGCGTAGAGCTCTGAGTAGTGCTGCACCGGGAGCTCCAGCTACTTTGTGCGATCTTTATGATCTCGCCCATGGCTGATTTGAGAGGGGCAACCTTTCTTTTTACTTGTCCTGTAGCCTTCTTGGTGCCATCATACATTCCCCTTATGTTGCCAGTAATTGCTGAAGTCTGTATCTGCTTACTAAGTTTGGTCCAGTAATCATTAGCGCAGCAACGTGCAGTTTTCTGGACTTTTGACCTGAGCAATTGCAGATTTCTATTATTCAGCTGGACTGTATATGCCAGTAAAGCTTTTTTCTTCTACTCTGTTATTGGCAACATCTCTTCCCTGTGATCCCCAAACCAGTCCAGTGATTTAACTCGACTCTTACTGAACACAGCCATGACCATCAGACTGCTAATAACCTGGGCTCATTTTCATTAACTCCTGTAGTTCACATTGCTTCTATGGTATGTGTGTCCACCTGGATAATCACATATTTTGTGTTTTATCTTATAAGACAATCTCCACCCCTACAAGGATTTTGTCAGCTGTATTAGTGAAGTAAGCAACTGTAAAGTATTGATCAGATAAGGAGTGAAAGGCAGCTCAGTTGCAGAATCATTGAGGTGATTGCAGTAGTGCGAGAAATAAATTCGCAGGTATTGATTAGTACTTATAAAAGTAAAAGGGAACTAGCTGGGCTAAAAGGACACACTATAGAATATGTAACATTAGAAGTTATAGTTGACGCCAAGATTTTAACTTCCAGACAACAACAGTGGTGCTGTGATTTTATAGTAATTAATTGTGTAGTGAAATAACCAAATGTCCTACAGATCCTCTGGTTGTTTTTGTGTGTGCATCGCACATTGATTGCATGCAAGAAAACAGCTTCTTACCTCTGATAGTATAATCTTTGTGAAGTAGATACATGATCTTATAGTAATTAGTTAGGTAGTGAAATAAGCAAATGCCCTATAGATCCTCTGGTTGTTTTTGTGTATGTCTATGTGAATAGCACATTGATTGCATGCAAGAAAACAGCTTCTTACCTCTGATAGTATAATCTTTGTGAAGTAGATACATGATCGTATAGTGATGTGACATCAAGTAACAGGGAAGACCCCATAGTGTGATTTCTTTGTATAATTCCCTTCAGGAATGATGTGGTTTTTGTGTTTTTAAACACACACAAAAATGTCTGAGTTAGATGTTACCCATAACTGAAATGGCATAATGTGATGTTTATTTCCATAATAATGGTTTGGAACTGCTGTGTTTATGGAGCACCAACCAAGACATGCTGAGCAACACTTTATTTGGGGGTTTGATTTCCTGGAAGATTGACTAGCTTTGTACATACTTTATCAAAGTATTTGCTTTACAGATTTCAATTGAAGTATGTTTTAACTAGAGAGAGGGGGGTGCGTGTGTTTGTTTCATTTTAAAAGCATCTTTTCTAATTATTGACAGCCACCACATCAATATCCAGATCCAAGCAAGTTCACAGACGAGGAGCTAGGCATTCCTGCGGATGAAGAGGACTAGCATTGTCTGAGACATATTTTGTCAAAGCTTTGAAAGGCTTGCAGTAGCTGTAGCAATATCTTAATACATGTTCTCATAAACACATTCTGTGGTTCAGATATCATTTGTTGTTTTGGTATTACGAACCGGGAATCAACAGCCATTAAAAAAATTTGAAAATTAGTGGATTTATGTGGCAAAATGGTCAGGTCGTTTGCCTCGCACTCTGAATGTTGTGGGTTTGTTTCAGGAGATCAGTTTTTACGAAGATCCCAGGGGATCATTGCCGAGCTGCGGAGGTCATGCTCTGTTGGGCGCTCTTGGCAGGTGGGTAGCTCTTCTGTGGAGAGTGACTGAGCCATATGGGACAAAACCCATGGTAGTGAAGTTGATCCTCTCACCTACAGCGTTACCTTTTAGAAATGGGAAATAGAGGGACTGATGAAACAAGGATGTTTGAGGGAAACACTAGGGCAAACATTGATGAAACAAGGATGTTTGAGGGAAACACTAGGGCAAACATTGAGGAAACAAGGATGTTTGAGGAAAACACTAGGGCAAACATTGAGGAAACAAGGATGTTTGAGGGAAACACTAGGGCAAACATTGAGCAAACAAGGATGTTTGAGGGAAACACTAGGGCAAATGTTGAGGAAACAAGGATGTTTGAGGGAAACACTAGGGCAAACATTGAGGAAACAAGGATGTTTGAGGGAAACACTAGGGCAAACGTTGAGGAAACAAGGATGTTTGAGGGAAACACTAGGGCAAATGTTGAGGAAACAAGGATGTTTGAGGGAAACACTAGGGCAAATATTGAGGAAACAAGGATGTTTGAGGGAAACACTAGGGCAAATGTTGAGGAAACAAGGATGTTTGAGGGAAACACTAGGGCAAACATTGAGGAAACAAGGATGTTTGAGGGAAACACTAGGGCAAACATTGAGGAAACAAGGATGTTTTAGGAAAACGCTAGGGCAAACATTGAGGAAACAAGGATGTTTTAGAAAAACACTAGGGCAAACGTTGAGGAAACAAGGATGTTTTAGGAAAACACTAGGGCAAATGTTGAGGAAACAAGGATTTTTGAGGGAAACACTAGGGCAAACGTTGAGGAAACAAGGATGTTTGAGGAAAACACTAGGGCAAATGTTGAGGAAACAAGGATGTTTGAGGGAAACACTTGGGCAAATGTTGAGGAAACAAGGATGTTTGAGAGAAACACTAGGGCAAACTTTGATAAGTAAAGCTAGAGGTGCTGGACTGGATTCCATCCATGATACAAAGTGATGGCACAGGATATAATGGAATGGAGATATAGACTACGAGCCCTATGGTACATAAGTCCTGGGAAGTAAAGGCGGCTGGCGTGATGCTAACCGCATCATCCACCAAGTGCGGATTGGTCTAGCCCTATATGCCCAATACACCTGAAGGCGTGAACAAGGTTCCTTTTACTTTTTAGCTATGGGGACATGTAAAAGCACAGAAGGACAATGAATGAATGAGTTGATATTAATGAAAATTACTAATTATTCAAAATGTAACACTGTTTTACTATGAATTGCGTACATTTAACCTTTAAAGAAAACGAAACATAAATAATACTGTGCACAGACATTGAAAATAGTTCAGAGCAACACAAAAGAAAAAGCTGACATGGCATAGCTGTAAACAGTGACATGAGAATTCATCACAGAAGTAGTAGAGACAAATGTGTCATAGAAGTTGGTCATATAACACGGTTATTTGTGTTACCCAGGTGCGGAGCCGCCATGGTGTTAACAGCTAGATGCATGCCTGTGAATCTAAGGGGTCGTGTGTTCAAATCCGAATGGAGCCGGTCTTTTTTCTTTTAGAAATAATAACCTTTGCACCCAGGTCGGCTGAGCCTTAAATGGGTACCAGATAAAGTCCTCGGAAGTAAATGTGGCTAACGTGATGTGGACCATATCACCCACAGAGTGCCGATGGCTCTGTACACATCTGAACACAGAGAAAAGGATACTTTACCTATGTTATCATGTTTTAGTTTAGCTCATTCTGGTATACCACTGGGTTTTATGGGAAGCAAAGAACAGCAACACTGCACTGTACCAGGCATGTTGTTAGAGGTGAATAAGAGTAAGTTTGGGTTTATAGTCTTTACTCTAGTCCTGTTCCAGACCCTGAATGTCGCATGCACCTCCTTTTTACAGATCGAACTTATTCGTAATGTAGACTGTTGATTCCTTGTCTCTCAATTAAGGAGTGCTCCCAATTAGTCGACTCTTATGACATGCTTTTGGGTAAGCAGTGGGTTTATTCCTGTTTTCCCCAAAATGGGACCCTGGAACCCATGTGGGTTGGATTTGAAGTTGGATGCCTCATCCTACTGCTTGCTTATTGGCCATACTTGACATGCATATAACAATACAGGTTCTACACCCCACTTCAACACTCTTTTTCTCACTGCCATTGACATCTTGTTGATGAGAATATTTTCCATCTCGCTAAAGGCCGCCTTTGCCATGACGATTCTTATTCTGATTTCTGCAAGGTATTTTCTATAAAATGTTATGACTGTTGCAAGATAGTTGTATCTCATTGTTTTTTGCTAAAGAAATTTACCTGTGTGCATGTATTTCGCACTCTGGTGTTTTTTTCTTCTTGGTGATGACCATAACTTCCATTTTCTTAAAATGTAATAAATTTTTTTTATTTCATGTTAGATCCTCCCATGTTAAATCGCTTCTTGTCTTTCAAAAGTCACATAATATTTTTACTGTATGAAAAAAAAAGATCTGGAGACATTACACAACCTTGTCGCACCACTCCTTTAATTGGCTGGTACAGACCTACCTCATTATCAAAATAAAAAAAAAATACAGTGTAGCAGTATGTTATTTCCAGTATATGTTTTTAATCAAAGATTTTTTCCGTCAATTTGTCGCATTGTATCATGTCGACATGACTTACTCTATCAAAACCCTTTGTGTTATTAATAAAGTAGATATGAATATCTTTATTTACATCTATGGAACGTACACATTTGTTGTCTCTTGCCTTCTTCTTCAACATTCCGAACCCTTGAGGTTCATTTCTACAGATATCACTCACCTCCATTCATCTCTCTGGTTGGCCTTTTCTTTCTTTTTGGTGACACCAAGTGTTTGCAGGTCTGTCTGGATATTATCTCTCTGTCTTCTTGGTCTGCCTCGTGGTCTACGACCATGGTTTTAGCAGTACCGTTTATAGTATCTTATAACTTGTAGGTAATAGTGATATTTTTCTATAATTTTCACACTTGTTTCCTTTCCTAAACATGGGTATTAATAAAGACACTTTCCATTCAAGGAGTAATTTCTCCGTCTTTGAAACTAGTTTTATTAATTCATATATCTTTACATGTGATGCATGACCAACTTTTTTTATAAGTTCTTCTACAAGCCCTAATTGTTCTTCACCTATTTCTGGTTGTATTTTCTTCCTAATCGTTTGCATGGTGATTCTTATTGAAATAGTGATGTGACTCATGATGCTAATCGTTCAATGCTGATCACATTCTAGGGCCCCTGGTTTCTTTGGGATTGCAATAAACATAGAAATACATAACTCCTTTGGAATATCTCTGGTGTCATATTTTGTGTTCAGTAGCTTAGTGATCTGGCCTGTTCCACATTGTTATAATGCATTGAACATTTACAGTTAACACTAGTTCAAGCAAATACAGATACAAAGAAAGACGATTTAGAGAACTCTTTAGATTGTGATGCACCAGTAGCAACTTCCTTTAAGTAAACCATCATTGGATGGCTTGACTTGTTAAATCGAGCTTTCATGTACCTTTGAGAGACCCTTAGAAGTCATTAGAAGATCTTGTTGATGCTGTATAGGCAGTCTTTTTTTTTTCTTCCATTACAAACACATTACCTGAACAGTCAGACTTGTGTAAGGTCATAATCACACTGAGCCGGGAATGCAGAGACTGGTCATCAGGTGCCACGGAAACGGAAATTCAGCAATTAATTCAGGATAATGCTCACTCAGAGGGTTTGATCATTTACACAGACAGTTCAGTGTTAAGAAGCAAAAGAAGTGCTTGGGGCTTCTTAGTTAATGGTCGACGTTTAGTGCAGGAGAGCCTAGCATATGTCACATCACAACATCCAGCTTAAGAGTGGAGGCGGTCACTGCAGCTTTCCGCTGGCTAGAGAACACGACACACACACATCATGATTGTAACTGACTTAGAAAGCATGCTGAGGAAGATCAGGGCAGGCATGCTTCGTGCAGAGTGGTATGCTTGGCTGCGGAGGACACAGGTGAGGAGTATTGTCTGGATTTTTTCACCGGGGCACGCCGGTGTGTTGGGAAGTGAACAGGCGGACAGATGGCTGGCTCTGCACAACTTGGTGGAATACTGATACATGATAAGGCAGACATGATTGGGGCCTTGTGGGAGAGCGTGTACAGTTCGGAGGAGTAGATGGATCACCAGTCTGGTAAGATCGATGCAGGGGTGACGAGAAGTTGCGGCAGATGCTCGAGGCTCAAAGGAAAGGCAAGACGGACGTTTAATCAGAATGCTACTGGCAACCAATAGTATCGGAACACTTCGCTGGCTGCTGAAGATGGGGATGGAGCGCTTATGGGAATGCCCCGAGTGCTGTGATGTCGGTTTTTGAATCAAATCATTACAAACACCAGAGTTAGCAGAAACAGGTATGGAAGAGATACTCTGGAGGCAAATTAAGAAGCCTACTGACCATTTGAAGCCAAAATTTAGTTAGATCGAGCAGTATTACGGCAGGCGGCTTTGGAAGACAACAAGATCATGAAAAATATAGAGATATTTTTGATGAATCAATAAATCAGGTAAACCTGAAAATCATTTTCAGATGAGGAACCAATAGTTGCGTACAAATATGCCAAATCTGTAAAATGGATATGCCAAGTTCTGGAGCAAGATTAAAAGCCAAAGAAGTGGATGAACAACCAGAACTTTCCACTGGAGTTTACAGCCGGCAACTGAACAAAAC